ACCCCCGGCATCCTCCCTGGCCCCGCTCCGCCCCAGGCACGCCCCCGAACCCTGTCCAACCGCAACCCCTGCTCAGGCCCCGGCCAGCCTCCGGCCCCGCCCCAGCCTCGCCCCTTCTCAGCTCCCTCCCCGCCTCCACAGCCCCTTAGCGCTCCAAGTTCCTCTCCAGCTGAAAGTCCCAGGTCTGCTGTGACCCGAATGATTTACCGCGGCGGGCCGGCCGCCGCGGGACAGCGCTCCGCGCTCACCGCAGCAGCAGCGAGGAGGGCGGGCCACTGGGCAGCTGCCCGCGGACCCGGGACCCCGAACGCTTGCAGCCCCCTAGCCTTTCCTCTCCCAAAACCCCCGGAAAGCCGGCCTCTGCTTGTGGTCCCCATGACCTTCGGCCACGCTTACCCCGGCACCCTACCGATCCCGCTCCGGGCTAGTAGCCTCTGCCGCCGCCGTGCGCCCTGGACACCCCGTTTTGGCACTCACCACCTCCGGGCACTTGTCTCCTTATTTCTGGGCGGAGTTCTCGTCAGCGGCTGGAGGCCAGTCTGCACGAGGCCCTGGCTCTGCGATTGGTACTTCTCTCCCTGAAATGTGGTTCCGATATGCGATTTACTCCAGGGGTGAGGACCAGGTAGCTCAGGGGCTGAACGTGGGGTCCCGCAGGAGGTCTTTAAAGAGTGGAGGAAGGTGAACACCCCCTCGTGGTGCAGGCTGTGTGGAACCGGATTGGAGGGGCAGCGACTGGATATATTCATCAGCTGCTGCCGTGCTGAGGGCGACCCATCCTAGCCCAGGGGGATAGGCCCGCCAGCCATCAGCCTCACTCTGGAGGTCTGGCAGGGCCCCTCTCTCTTGGGACCGTCCTCTTCAACCTTCATGGGGTCTGAGCTATGAGGAAGGCTAGAGAATCCTCCACCCCTCACCCCCGAGCCCTGGAGCCCCTGATGGGGAGGGACTTCAGAAGTGAGACCCCCCAACTGTCCAGATGCAATGGAGGGTTACAGTCACCTGAGTGGAGGAGGGGGTCCATACAGGCCAGCAGTACTTTTGTCCCTGCTTTATAAATGGGGAACCTGGGGTCAAGGGGGGAGCAGCACCCCAAGCTGCCCAGCCTGTAAAGTGCAGGCCTGGGGACTGGGCACAGGGTCCGGCTCCAGGGACCTTGCCGCCTGTGAATCAAAGACACAATGCAGTGCGTAGAGTATGTCTAAGTCCACAAGATGCCCACAGGCCCATCTCACTGTCCTTAGAAATCCCAAACACCAGTGGTTGCCCTGCTTGCTGAGGCCCCAGTCGGACTCGGTCTGCCTAACAGATGGCCTGCCCTGCTCTCCACCTTGTCCCTCTGCCCCTCACCCACCCACCCCTCCCTGAGATCAGAGTGGTGGGATCTGGTCCCAGCCCAGGTTTCAGGCCAACACTCTTCATGACCCACCAGAACTAGAGCAGACCTCAAGTAACTAGGGTTAGGGTTAGATACTTGGGTGAGGCATTGTTGGTTCAGTGGTAGAATTCTTGCCTCGCATGTCAGAGACCTGGGTTTGATTTTCTGCCAATGCACCTCATGCACAGCCACCACAAGTCTGTCAGTGGCGGCTTGCGTGTCACTATGATGCTGAACACATTTCAGCAGAGCATCTAGACTAAGAGGGACTAGGAAGAAAGTCCTGGTGACCTACTTCCAAAAATCAGTCAATGAAAACCGTATGGATCACAATAGTCCAATCTGCAATTGATCATAGGGATGGCGCAGGACCAAGTAGTGTTTCGTTCTTTTGTGCATGGGGTCACCATGAGTCGGGGCCAACTCAATGGGAGCTAACAACAACCACAGAGCCTACCCCAAGAAAGCCTCCCCTGGTTCGTGGCCTAATTCTGAATTTGTGGGTCTCTTCCCCACACCCCACCTTACGAATGTCCCATCAGGTCCACCCACTTTTCCACATCTTTACAGCTCACCCCTTCTCTTCCAGAACTATACTTGGCACAAAATGGACAGCCGAATTAATTACTATCTTTAAGAATGTTCACCAGCTACTCCCCTGAATTCCATGCTACCCCAGGGGGCCAAGGGGTGTGGGTGGATAGATGATTAATGGTTTCAGAAAAGTCTCCAGCTTGAACGAAAGACTTCTGATAGATCCTTCTGGTGAAAAAGGAGGCCTCTGGGCAGGGGAGGAGCCAGGTTTTGTGGGACTTGCAACATATAAAAATTGAAGGCCCTTTTTAAGAAAAGTTATACAATAATATGTGATTTTACTATTTTTACAAAAATAGACAACTTTGTGCACAAATGTCTAACCTCTATACACACACACACACACATAAACATACACACTTGGGTTGGAAGGGTCCCTGAACTGATTTCCCAGGGCTGCCATAACAAACTATCACAAACTGGTGGCTTCAGACAGCAGAAGTGTATTCTTTCACAGTTCTGGAGGCCAGAAGTTCAAAATCAAGGTGTCAGCAGGGCCGTACTCATTCCAAAGGCTCTAGGGAAGGATCCTTCCTTGCCTTTTCCAGCTTTTGGTGGCCCCAGACATTCCTTGGCTTGTGGCAGCATCACTCCAATCTCTGCCTCATGCAGTCTTCCCTCTGTGTATCTCTTTTTCCCTTCTTCTCTTCTTTTAAGGACACCAGTCATATTGGAGTGGAGCCCTGGTGGCATAGTGGTTAAGAGCTGGGCTGCTAACCAAATGGTCGGCAGTTCGAATCCACCAGTCGCTCCTTAGAAAGCCTGTGGGACAGTTCTACTCTGTTCTATAGGGTCACTATGAGTTGGAATCAACCCGACAGCAACAGGTTTGGTTTGGTTTGGTTTGGTTTAGTCATATTGGATTAGGATCCACCCTACTCCTGTATGACCTCATGTTAACGAATTACATCTGCAAAGACCCTATTTCCAAACAAGGTCACATTCACAGGTACCAGGGATTAGAAGTTGAACATATCTTTTTGGGGAACACAGTGTAACCCATAAAAGTCCCTGAAATGTAACTTCATTGACCTCACAGTGAATCCGACTCTGCCCTCACCCCCTGCCCCAGGCACCGAGTCCAGTGCCAGGTACACCGTCCTAAGATAGGGGCCAGGTGTGTGCAAGAAGAGGGCTGGCATTTCCTGCTGGGCATCCCTCTAGGGGTCTGTGTGTAGCACCGCTGAGGATGCCCAGCCTCTCCCCACATGCCAGTCCAGGTGGGGGGAGTCCACATGGGAGAGGTCTGTGGCCTTCCCAGGCCCCCAAACAAAGCTGTCATTCTCAAGCCCATGTTGGGATGAATGAAACACCTGCCCGGAGCTCACCTCTCAAAGGAAGGCCCCCTCCCAAAGACTCACGGAGAAGAGGAGGCCCTGGGTGGTTCTGGCATCCACAAGCCCTGCCTCTTGCCCACCCTGAGTCCGTCTCCTCTGCACAGGCTGAAACCAGAAGGAAAGACCAAGGACGATTGTCTAAGTTCTGAAATGTGCCCACCTGCACAGATGATATGTCATCAAAGACGACACTAAGATTTCACACTTGAAAAAAGTAATCAAATTGTACATGTGTATTTAAGACACTTTAATAGGTGGATTTAAGTTAACAATGAACGTGTTTTCTTTTATAGTAATAAAACTATACAGAACACAATAAACATTCCTCAAGTCTTGTCTATTTTTGTCCATTTTCCTAATAAAATGAGAGCAGAGGAGACATAGTGATTGCAAATATTTTCCCAGTTTGTAGTCTCAGCTTTAATATTGCTAATGATGCCTTTGACTTTTTAAGTTTCTAATTTCATGTACTCAAAGTATACAGTTTTCACTCTGCAGCTTCCTTTGTGGCTTAGAAACAAACACTTAGCTTAGAAAGGTCATGAATATTTTCTTATTTTGTATTATTAATTTGTTGCATTTACTTATTTCACATGAGATTTACACTGCGAAGATGTCACTTTGAGAACAAAGGTACACCTGACCCGAGCCATGGTCTTTTTAATGGCGTTACATGCATGTGAAAGCATATGAAATGAAAAAGGAAGACAGGAAAAGAATTGATGCATTTGAATTGTGGTGTTGGCAAAGAGTATTGAATATACCGTGGACTGCCAGAAGAACCAACAAATCAGTCTTAGAAAAATACAACAATCATGAAGATGGTACAGGACTTGGGGGGCCCTCTCTGAGCTCCCAATCTTTGCTGTTGTTGTTACCTCTGACTCATAGTGACTTTGCAGATAAGAGAAGAAAATATTGCCCGGTTCTGCACCACCTTCATGATCTTTGATATGTTTGAGCCCCTTCTTATGGCTTTTGTGTCAATTCATCTCATGGAGGGTTTCCCTCATTTTCATTGACCCCCTACTTTAACATCCATGATGTAAGAGGGGAATAACTTGTTTCTCCAGCTAATTAGCCTGTTGTTTGGGCATCATTTGCTGGCCAATTCCCTCCTTCCACTGTGAAATAATATCTTCATCCCGTGCTAATCACACATAGAATCTGTCTCTGGGTATTTCCACTGATT